AATTGCTTATATTATTCTTAATGTGTGAAACAATATGTATCCAAAACACCGCGGGGGTGTAACGGGTTTTGGGGATGTAACAGTGTCGGGATAGTGGATGTATCCGCGGAAGGTGTTGACACGGAATTAACCCTTTCCGTCTCCCGCCTTTCAGCGTTCTCTCTGACAACACCGGCGCAACCAGAAGGCAAATTGCCGAAATTCAGCCGAGGAGGGCGTAAATATTTTATTGGGGAGGGGAAAAGCGTGTTGGGTGTTTCTTTTTTTCGCGTGTCTGTGTGTGCGTGTACATAGGTAGAGCCTGTGCGGGCAGCTCGCCCCGGGATGTAACCTTGCGTTTTAAAATTACTTATCTGTGCTTATTTGGGGATAGTTTTTTGATACAGCGACACTATGCTGGTTTAAAATCAGCTGCGCGTAAGTTTGTGTCAGCCCTTTTGTGAAAAAAGTGCGGGTTTGTACCTGTAAAACGGAGCAGAGGTTTATACAATAGCACATCTCCTGTCTCCCTGTCGGTACAAATCCACGCTGGAAAAGGGCTGTTGCTCCCAGGATAACAGCTCTGTTTGGGAAAACGTAGCGTGCTAAAAAAAAAAAAAAATAAAAATCTTCATTTAGATTTTTAATATAATCATTCTTACTCAAAACTGCTACATAAGGCATATAAGATACTGCACATTGTTTTACTTGACAGATGTGAAAAATAATGGAAGTTTTATTCTTTTGTACTCATTTCTTGTATGTAATCTTCAAAGAGTGATTGCAGTTGGTGAAAGAAGAACGGTACCGATTCAAAGTAGCCTTTTAAATTATTTTTTTTTTTAATCTTGGGCCTAAAATATATTTGTTTTGAAAGTTTTGAAGTGTTCAGCTCCTTTTGGATATTTTCTTCACAGAAGTTCACAGTAAAGAAGGTAATAATTAAATACTTCTGGTAGGTGAGCTGTAGTACTCTATAGAGCCCTAAATAGAATTTAAAAGAATTGACACAGAAGCCAGCTTCAAATTTTACTTTTTTTCCAGTCCAGCATTTGTTGTTGAACTTCATTTTAAAAGGATGCTTTGTTCGGCTTTGTCTTAATTTAAGTATGGAGATTTATTCTTAAGATTAAAGATTGGAACAATGGGAAGCAATTGCAGCTTATATACTTATAATCTTATTGTAAGTCAACTTTAAAGTATTTAATACAGCTATTCAAGTATCCTCTTATCATTTGTTTTATGCGGGTTAGTTGTAATTTCTTTCTGCAACATGGATTGTTATAAACCTTGTAAAAAATGCTTATTATCTTTACGTATAATTCACTCTCATGAACAAATTGGATTTTTTTCCATGAGTGAACTATAATATGAAATTTAATGTTCTGACCTTTCTTATGCTAGATTACTGAAAATAGTGTGATTTAGCTTTTCTGAGAGCCCGAGCATATTTTTGTTGGTGGTTTAACGTGTTGTTTTATATTGTAGCTTTTAATTATGGAAAAATAACATTAGACATGTAATTTTCACACTTCTACTTAATTTATGCAGCCGCTAAAGTTCTTGCTGGGTAAAAGAAAAACTTAGTTGGTTTTTTTTTTCTTTTTTTTCCTGGGAGCTTTGATGGCTAGCATTCTTGTTAATGACAGTCATTTCTCTAACAGGAAGATGTTTTCATTTGTCTTTACTTTCTAGTGCAGGGCAATTATGCTGTTCTGTGTTGCACACTCTTGGTAGTTCCTATCTCAAAAGAATTACAGTACTTGGAACAGGACTGCAATTTGAAGCAGGTGTTGTGTTTTACTGTTATGCAAAATAACACTAAAATATAATTGTAAGGGAAATAAAGGAAACAGCTGCAAACTTGGTATGGTAACCGTTACATTATGATTCGTGAGCAGTTGTAGCATCCTATGTCACTTCTAACACAGCACAGATTTGGGTTAGTGAAGCTCACCTTGCTGATTTTTACTCCTGAAACTATTATGCTTATTCTTACGAGGCAGGATTAGTGTAAAGACCAGATCATAACCTTAGTTACGGTGATGTGCTGTCTCACTAGTGACTTGGTTTTTAAATGGGAACTTTAGAGTTTAGTTTCTTTTTTTTGTTTGTTTGTTTTTTTCCCCTCTCCTCCAATGACAAAGAAGATGAAGGATAGAACCCAATTACTGGAATGAAGGTTGCAGAATGTCTTAACCCAACTAACATATGGAAGCCTACATAGGCCTGAGGTTGTAAAATAGTAAAATAAATGGCCTATAGCAGGCCATCTGCCATTTGCAGGGCATTTTTATCGTTCTTCGTGCCAAACTGGAAATTAGTCTTTGTATTAAAAATATATTTTGAATACAAATCAAAGATTCCAAACGCTTAATGTTACACATGGCAACCACATTTCTATCTGGGAGCTAAGAGAAGTCCAGGAAAATCACACTGGAAAAATACTGCTTAGTTTGATGCTCAGGGCTCAAGTCATTCTCTTCTTTTTCCTATCTCTTTGTCTTCCCAGTAAGCACTGGTTTACTTTTGTAAGTTACACACCGGATATGAAAAATCTATTGTGTGTGGCAACTAAAGGGGTGATAGCAACCGATGCAAAGCGTCATGGTTTCATGTAAGTCCTTGGTGCTGGGATAGCGTGCCCCAGCTGAGGCTCTGCCTCATAAATGGCTTTTAAAGAGTTGCTCATCTTGAAAGTGTTCTTCGAACATCAGCTGATCAATTTTCCCAAAGTCCCTCTGAAAGGAAGGCAGCTGAGGTATCCTCGGTTTATTGATTGAAGAAATTGAAGCGCAGATTCTGCACTGGGAACTCAGCAGAGATGAGGGTTGGGAAGTTTCGGGCTATTGGGCTTATGCTCGTGTTATAGAATGCTTCCAGTCTTAATGCAAAATATGTTTAAGAGCACTTTGAAGAAGTGAACGATAGGAATGCCTAGAGAGGGAAGAGCATATTTCTTTCATCTTATGCAGAAATATTTATGCAGAAAATTGCACTTAAATCTGTCAGATAAATCATTACTTACTATCTGGTGATGAATCCAAACCAGTTTCATTGCTCGCACACTATAACATGGATATTTTGTTAACGTTGTCTTGATACTAGCCTTTTTCTGGACAGATAAATACTTTGATTCAAAGGTCTTTGGGTGTACCTTTTGCTATGCAGTTGTAAAATTTTCTGCTCTGCATCAGCTTCTTCTAAGTCTCTCAGATGTAACTTATTTCGTAAAGCTTAAACAGGGCCTTGAAAGCAAGCGTGCGCATTTGTGGAAAGCCCTTTGTCCTTCAGGAAACTGGGTCCACTTGTTATTTTCCATGGTTGCAATTAGCACAAGATGTTATTTAAAATAAAGAATAGTAAATGTAGAGTATTTAACTGGAGCTTTCAACACAAGGGTTTTTTTTCCCTGAAAATAAAGCATTCATCCTTTGGATGTATTTAATGACGGTGGAGTTAAATGATGAAGTAATTAAAGAAAAAAAACGTGAATAGTAACGCTTAGAGAGTTGGGTGATGGGTACATCAGAAATATAGAAAAAGATCTTCGGATGGAAATTGGGAGAGGATAGAGTAATGTGTCTCTCTGCGTTTACATCTCCTTTGAGTTGATAGCAGCGTGTGCTCTCTTTCTCTCCTGGCAGAGGTCCGAGGAGTAGATGAGGAGCTGCTGGGAGTCGGGAGCCGCCTGGAACACAATGCCCTACCCCGCTCCTGGCCTTGGGAAGTTGTGAGCTGCTCATGTCCATAAGGAGGAAGGATGGCTCATGGAATTCCTTCACAAGGCAAAGTTACCATAACGGTGGATGAATACAGCTCCAACCCAACACAGGCGTTTACACACTACAACATTAATCAGAGCAGGTTCCAGCCTCCGCATGTGCATATGTGAGTATTCCTGACGTCGCCTGCGTGTGTGCCTGCGTGTGCGGCTGCGTGTGCCTTGGAACCGCCAACCGCTGCTGGTGGAGTGGGTTGAAAACTGGTAACCAAACTGATTAGTCTCGTTAGCTAATAGGCAATATGCTTGTGAAATTTCGTACGCGGCGTGTTTGAGGAACACTGCTCCATCATCTCCTGGCGAGGATGGCTCCTGCCTGGGGCTGGGGGAAGCGTGCCCTACCGATGACTAATAGGGGACATTTTCTGAAACTGTCATGTCACTGATCTCACTTTAACTCGCCGGAGGGACCCATTGCTTTAAGATTGAAGTTCCCTTCCCCCAGCCCTTACACTCAGCTGCGAAATAGGCCTAATTGGGACTAATTGTCCCCCCCTGATCACTGAATCCTTTGTCCTGCCGGTTGCGAGTGGAACGTGTGCCGAATGCTGCCATCCACTCGCAACGCGCCTCCAAGGCGGTGTCCGGGGCTGCGCGGTGGTTCCTCCCCAGAAATACAAATCCCTGCCCCGAACTCCCACCAACAAAAGCCTGGGAATTGGGGAGCTGAAGGCTTCTTCCCTCACCTGCTTATTCCTGGGGATTGTGTGACCCGCAGGATCGGTCTGCCGCACGCTGCCCAGGCACAATGGTTTGCCGTAAGAGCTAAGTACCAGTTTTAACTCCGAATTTCCGTCCCATTGTTTAGTTAAGTTTGATCTTTATCGGTTATTTCTGCGGAGGTTCTTTTTCTTTTAACATTAATAGACTGAGAAGCACGTGAAACTAAAACAAAGGCGACATCTCTTGACCTCCTGCGTGCCATTGTTAGGCGGGATTTTGAATGATGCCACACTATTGAATTTGATAAGGGTTTTGCATAATAAGGGGGGAAAAGTTGTATGGTACTTCATTGCATTTTTGTTATGTAGAAGCCTGCCGGAAGAGTCACAATGTAGGAGTTCAGCACCTTCTAATAGGATTTCATGTGGTTACAATCTTCCTAAAAGGCAACTTTTGGAAGGATGCTGAAGAGTGTTGTGCATGTGACTTTTGAAGGTGGAAAAAGTTTTCGTTAATTACATTTGATGTATGACTACAACGATGATGTAACTTTCCTTTTAGAAATGTTTCCGTTTCTCGATTTTCTTTTCAGACCTTTTGTCAGCAAATTTCTGTTGCGTGTTTTGCACTCCAGACTGCCCTTCTGACTGACGTTAAGTACATGTCAGACCAAACAATAGAAACGTAGAAAGTGGTTTTAAAGAGCCCCTTCTTATTGACATTGATTTCAGTGGGAGCTGATTTTAGGACCAACTGAGTGTGGCATTCAACATTGTAAAAATTGCTTATGCTTTGTTTCAAAAACTCACAAACAATTACACAGCGACTTCACTACTAATTTGTGTATCTCTTAAATGATATTGACTTGACAGATGTTTTAAAAGATATTTTACTTGTTTGGAGAAACTGTGTAATTGAAATAAATACTGAAACTATAAAGAACAATATAGTGACAGTGTTTTAAAGGCTTTTTAACTGAAATGCTGCAGCTTTCTTAAAATCAGTAATTTGGTTTCAAGGAAGGGTGTGTCATACGAAAAGGGAGATCCAAATTTAGAACAATGGAAAGGGGATTGATTAGTCTCGGATTTACCATGGAAGCAAAGAAAACAGTGTTGCGGTGCAGTAGGTGAGTTCAGGTGTGGGTCTGGATAGCAAATGATGAGGTTTAGAAAACCTGTTGAGGAAAAAATGACAGGATCTTGTCAGGTGTGTAGAGTTGTGGGTAGAAGAAAGCGAGGAAGGGAAGGTATGACTGGGGCTGTGGGTTTGTGTGATGGTAAGAACCCGTGGAGTCAGTTCTGGGGAGGAGAGACTGGGTTGTGTGGTGGCTTCAGAAGCGTCCTTATGTGCCTTCCCAGTGTGTTGTAGTGGAAGCATTGAGCCTATTTCTGAAAGAGGATATCGTCAAGCGAGAAACCTGGACAGAAAATTGGTAAAAGCAGTATTAACAAAGAAAACATGATCCTTTTTTACCCTGTTGTATCTTTCTAGTGCCACATTGCCACGGCTGCCAGGATTGTTTGATTTGTTTTGCTTTTACAGCCTGCTTTTCTTTTTTGATATCTTAAAGTAATACATGCTTTTTTTTTTTTTTTTGTTTTAAGAGGGAGTTTGAGGAAGTTTAATTCATTAATGAGAAATTAATTTTAATAAATTGTGGGATGATGAGAAATGAGTAAGGCAACATGGGAACTGAGCAATAGGGCATGTATTTGAATCGCAGGGCAGCATATTGTTACAGGGTCCTTCTGCATAGCATAAATCAGTGGCTGGGTGCAGCTTATGGAAATATTTCCTAAAGGAAATAATTTTTTTTTTTTAAAGCAATTTCTTCATGGATATGCATCTTCACATGCAAAGGTGAGAACTGGATTCTTGGCATATACTGAGCCGTTTCTGGTTCCAGTATGCTCTGGGCCTAATTCTCGTCTCAAGCAGAGTAGATGGAGAGTCTGTGGAACATCACCAGCATAAACCCGCTGGTTAAGGCGCTACTCTGCCTGTTCCGTGGGACACATGTCCTGCGCTTTCTCCGGCTTTCATTTTGTGCCTTTCACATGACGATGTCATATAGTTTGGTCAGCAGGGTTACAGTTCTCTTTTATCATCTTTATATGTATTTTTACTCCAGCACTTCTTAGTGAATCTGTTGAAGTGTGCTCTAAGGTAAATAGCAGTGTATTAAAGCTGCCTTTGCTTGGGCTGGCTGTGACAGCAGTTTTGTCAGTTACTTAAGCTCTGGTATAGTATGACTTTTCAATCAGTTTGTCCTGTCTTTGTATTTTATTTCTCTAATTGAACAGGTGTTCTAAAGACATTTTTTACTCTACGATTATTTTGGATAAAGGGATATCCTGTTAAATATTTTGTCATCTTGAAGCAATGCTCCCACCCACAGGTTTCACTTATTTTCTGAAGATGCTATAAAATTCCTGTATTTGAATGTTTTGTACAAGTCATGTTTACTTCCAGTTAGTTTTAATTAACAGCATCACCCTAGTTCCTTGCTTTAAAGGTCAGGTGCAAAATAGTAACAATTATAATATGCCTCCCTTTGCGTCTTAATTATTATTATTCTTTTGAAAGTCTTCATACTTTCCCATTTTTTGTCAGGAATTGTGACTTCAAGAGACAAATGCTTCTTGTTCCTCCAGTGTAGTGCTGCCAAATATTGTAAGCTTTTTGTTTTGTTTTGTTTTCTTTAAAAGAGGAAAGGAAAAGCTTTTAATCCTGTGTAGACCCTTGAGATGTTGTGTATGAGGCTACGGTCAGCGGATCCAGGGATACCGGTGAGCGAGCGGCAGTAGGATGCAGCCTGGGGACAGGATGGGCACATGTGGGAGGAGCTGGTGGCAGGTATGCCTTGAGCTGCAGAAGGCTTCGTTCTCTGAAACTACAGCCTCAAAGTAGAGAGAGAGAAAAAATTTCAACTATTGTAAGCAAACAGTAGGAAAAAAGTGAAAGTGACTAACCTTAGAAGATAATTGAATTCATCGGATATATATGCCATTTGCTTAGGGTGGTCCTTTTTTTTTTTAAGACTTTTTTTTTTCTTCTTTCTTTTCTCTGTGCAGCTTTACAGTAGGTCGCCACAGTGGGTCGTTAAACCATTTTAATTAACAGGAATTACTAAGGCTCAGTTTTGTGGAACCTTCCTGTCTCACCCATTTTTTTTCCTCAGACCAATGGAAAGGAGCTGAAAAGAAAATAGGACAAATCCAAATGGAAAACTATTTTCGTAGATTTTAAGCAGAGCAAAAAAAATCTTCCTGTTTACTCTTGGGGGGGGAGGGGAGAGTGAAATAAACTTTGTGTATTTCTTGTGGAAAATGCCAGTTTGGACTGGCCCAGCTGGTGAGGACGAGGGAGTTTTGTGGGGCTAAACTAGCTGTAGCCGGGGCTGCTGCAGGCTCAGCCTTTTAGGGGAGTTCATTAGCTTTCCTCTGCTCCCACCAGAATAGCGTGGTGGCTTGTTTTTAGGATACTTGAAATACACTATAAAATGCTGGTACGGTTTAAAATTCAGTAGTAGGGGAATAAGAAAGAGAGAGGTTTCTGTGCCAGAGCAGAAGTCTTCTAAATGAGTTTATTCATACCTGGAGATACATTGAACAATCTGTAACTATATAACTTTACTGCCTTTCCTGTGCTGGAGTAATTCCCCATGTGAATATTCTTAGTTTAAAACAAAGAGTATAAACAGTTTTATATCAGTAGAAATATATACGTATAGTTGAATAAAGTATTTAAGTGTATGATTATGTGTAAATGTATATATATAATAATAGTAGCAATATAAAAATATAGCTGTATAATCATAGAAGGAAAAACTTTCAACTGTGACGAAGCCTTAAACTGTTAAAACTTGGAGATCTGATTAGACTGCTAACCTTGAGAAATAGGATCTTGCGTATTATTTTTTTTTCTTGGGGAAACCATCCTGCATTTAATGAGCTTTATAAACCCCTGCTGATATTAGTGGGAAATCATGCATTTGATTTGTAATGTTCTCAACTTTTGTTTTGTATAAGGTGTGTGATATTTAGGGGGAGGGGGAAAGAATTGGCAGTAGTAGAATATGGACTTATTTGACATTTACAGAATAGTGGAGTTTGTACATGTAATAATATTGGTTGAGACAATACAGAGATTCAGTCTTAGGCTAGTTAGCTATGACTGGGGGGGCTGGTTCTGTTGATACTGTTGTGATAAAGGATCATAGTTTTGGTGGATATTGTTGCCAAACCTGCAGCTCCCCAGCTGCCCGTTCCTGCCCCCATGCCAGACACTTTGCCACCTTCCCAGTAGTGCTGGCAGAGTCTTCTCCAAGGCTGCTCTATAGATCCCACCACTGAAATGGTCTCGGTTAAAATATCCGTTCGGTGGTGTTTGGTTTGGGTGTTTTTTTTTCTTTTCTTCCAATGAGCTACTTGCAGCGATC